CCAAACCCTAAATCCTAAACCCTAAACCATAAACCCTAAACCTCGATATTAGCTGGTATACCGAGGCTATAGACCTGTTGGGTTGCTTCGGAAGGGCTTGATTGATGGTATGCCCACTGGCCTTTGGGTTTAACTGGGGCGCTTCTAGGAGTTTAGTTTGGGGTTTAGGCGGGGGGAGGTTAGGCTTTGGGCTTTAAGTTTAGGGTTGATGGCTACTAAGGAAAGTAAACGAACAAGATTTGCTTGTAGGGAAACATTATACGTCAAAACTCGCTCCACATCCATTCTGTTTCCGCAGCGGCATGCCAGTTTAAGGCCTGAGGCCATATACAGGGTGTAGGCTTAACCCAGAGCTATATAGACCTGTACTAAACGAACAGTAGTCTTCATAGGACAGATATTCAGGTTCCATCGTAGTCCCAGGAGGGCCTTGCATAATGCGTTTTGTGAACAGAGCCTTCCCCCCCCACCCCCGACCCAGATGTCTGTAGTTCACGATTGTATCCCTGCAGAATCCTTGTATAACTAGCATAGAGTAGAGTACACTCTAGAACTCTGAATCTCATTATCTGGGCACCTGCATCAAGATTCTTTGCATATGGGGGTTTCCCAAAATTAGGGGTACCTTTCTGGGGGTCCCCATAATAAGGACCATAGTCTTTTGGGGTCGATATCGGGGTCCCCTTATTTGGGGAAAGTACTATATCCTAAATGGTGCAGGATTTCTGAAATCTGTGGCACTGGCCTTTAAGAGGCTACGGGTGCTTGCGGAGAGGTGGGTGAGGGGATCCCTGTAATCATCCCGAAATCATCCAAGTCTTGATAGGATTTAGGGCTTACCCTAAACTCTAAACTCTTATAGGTTTTTTCTCTCCACTCCGCTTGGAGCACCTGGAAATCTGCTACGCTGATGGTTTACATACGCAGTAGTTTCCTGGAATTTGGCATCTCTTATTGAGGATCCCTATTTGTACCGGTCCTACATTATTTACTTGCTCCCAGTTTCCATGTCATTTTCCTTTTCCAGTTGATTCTTCTTTCTGGGGGAGGGTAACATGTCAAACCTTAAATCCTAAACCTAAATCCTAGTCAGCAGTAATCTCTCTCTCTCTCTCTCTCTTTCTCTCTCTCTCTCTCTTTATATATATATATATCCACATATCCTATGTCTCTATGCATAGGCCCCTAAACCCTAAACCCAAGGCCCGATTGGCAGACCGCAATAGGGAGAAATGCCCGCGCATGTTTTCAGGTAGGGTTCTGTCATGCCCCAACACACGTTCCATGGTACCGACTTTCAGAAACAACAGCAAAAAGCAAAGGGCATGCCGGCAATTCAGCAGCCCCAAATCTTACGCGCGAAGCCTCCAGCCCCAAGCTCAGCTATTTTCCTCAAGATCTGATGCCCAGGTCATCATCACAGAGGAGACGTTTCAAGAGAAAATTTTATCCGATTAAGTGCCCATGGGGTCACAAGGAAGGTGCCAATGGCCATGATCAAACAGGAGTTGGTGCAAGACGGTCATGATGGGAGGGTTCCCTCTGGGCTGGCCACTGCTGCATTTTTGAAGTCTCATGTGAGCATTGTTCAACTGGGCAAGCACAATCCTGGATGACCAAAATTCGCTCTTCTACCTCCTACGTGGCTAAAGAAAGCAGAGCCCTTGATGCAAGTATACTTCACAACTCCTATAGTATAGAAGGGTACAGAAGTACCAAGATGCTAGCCCCAGATTCCTTGTAAAACTATAGTATAGGGTACCTCAAATGATTCAAGCAGACATTAAAACCCAAAAACAATTGGCAACCCTAAGCCCTAAAACCCTAAACCCCTAAACCCCTAAACCCGAAACTCAAAAACCCTAACACCCTAACACCCGTATGCTGAGTCTTCCAGTGACCCCATGAGACGTTGCCTCGCTGGGATCAGTTAGGCAGAAGTCCATGCCGCGCTCTAACCCAGAGGGTCCATGTACCCAATCATTAGGTACTTGAGTAGTATTTTATTTGGGGATATTATGGTACCTAATATAGAGTAAGATTCTATCCTCTTTTTGGGGTATAGTCTTTTATATAAGGATTTTTTCTTATTAGGTACAACCAACCCAGAGGGTCCATGTACCCAATAGCTAGGTCCCCTTTAAAGGGGTTCATGGTTTAGGGTTTAGGGGATATATAAGGTTTAGAGGATATATAGGGGTATATAGGGTTTAGGGGATATATAGGGGTATATAGGGTTTAGAGTTTAGGTTAGAGGATATATAGGTGTATATAGGGTTTAGAGTTTAGGGGATATATAGGGGTATATGGGGTTTAGGGTTTAGGGGATATATATGGGTATATAGGGTTTAGGGTTTGGGGTTCAGGGTCCATGTACCCAATAATTGGGTATTTGGGATTTGGGGTCATAGTAATTCTAGTACAGGTTTTGTGTATGTATATGATTATTTGGTACTTGGACCCTTAGGGTAAGGGTTTGGGGTTTAGGGGGTTAGGGTTAGTAGGGTTATATAGTGGGGTTATATTGGGAAAATGGAAAATCAAATGGAAACTATTACTGAGTGTTTAGGCTTTAGTGGCTTAGTTTTTAGGAGTTTAGGGTTTGGGGGTTTTGGGGTTAAGGGTTGAGTTTGGGGTGACGTCTGACGACCTGGACCCCCAAAGAAGGTTAGATAATGGCCCAAGAGCGGCAAACGTAGCCAACAGAGCTGTTCTTCTACATAACTGGAATTTAGGGGTTTAGGGTTTAGGGTTTGGGGGGGTTTCAGGCAGAGCATGCTACCCTGAGTCGCGCACACATGAACACCTTCCATCCCGCATCTCATGAAATCCTTCAGATTCCAATTTGAGTCCCGATTGCTTATGGACTGTGGAGCGTGGCGCACACTACACACCTCAAGGTGCCAGTAACACCCTAAACCCTGAATCCTAAACCCTAAACCCTAAATCCTAAACCTTAAGCCCTAAATCCTAAACCCTAAATCCAAAACCCTAAACCCTCAAGCGGGGGATGTCATTGCACATAGAGGTTCATCCATAGCTGCGAGCAGGGCCATGGGCAGGATAGCTATAGGATTTAGGCGGTTAGGTGAGTAGTGCTAAACTTATGGTTTAGGGTTTGGGGTTTAGGGTTTAGGATGTAGGGTTTAGAGTTTAGGGTTCTAGGGTTTTGGGCAGGCTGTAGCGTAGGTCTATAGGCAGGGTAGCTATACTTATCACTCCGTTTAAGGTGCTGGCTACCTGCAGCAAATTGGACGTTACACTTGCTGTCAAGGTATTGTGCTCTTCTGACGTAGTTTAAGGTTTAGAGTTCATCATTCAGACCCTAGACCACAAACCCTAAACCCCAAACAGGGTTTAGAGCTCATCATTCAGAGTGAGGAGTGAGGTAGCGATAGTGCTCAGTCAATGCTGAGAAGATATCTACATGACTGCTTCAAGAACCTGGAAGCCATAAACCCCCAACCTTAAACTCAAAATCCTGAACTGCAAACCCTAAACTCAAACTCTAAGCCGGAAGCCAGAAATTCTAAACCTGTACCCTAAACCTAAGCCTGTAACCTGAAAAGCATGCCAAATTTTCTGGTCGCCAGCCAGCGGCTCGAATTTTCAGTTGAGGCCGGTGCTTGGAGGTTCAGGGTACCTATAACCCAAATTAGGGTTTAGGGTTTAGGGTTCAGGGCGATTATTATTCAACCCAAGTTAGGGTTTGCGGTTTAGTGTTTTGGGGGACTATTTTTCCTGATGTTAGGGCATTACGTATCTATCACTAATAATCCTTGCACTTCTAGCCCAAGTATGAGGCCCCCAAGTCCCCTAAAGTGATTCTAAAGTTGGTTTTCAGTTATAACTGGGTTATACTTATCCTGAACTGCGAAGCGACCCTCATCCCTGCTGAAAGATGGTGCAAAAGTCTGCGTTCTGCACGGGAGGTTTGGGGTGTGGGGTCTTTAGGGTGTAGGTTCTTTAGGGTCTAGGGTTCACTTTCTCGGCCAGTAGCGGAGAGTCATACTGAAAAGGAAGATGATGTGGAAGGCCTAAACCCTAAACCCCCTAAACCCTGAGCAGATGCCATTCATCCAAGACAATGAGGGGCTTAGGTTGAGGGGGAATCAAGCTCCTATATTAAGGCCATAATCAACCTAAACCCCAAGCCCTCATCGTCCCTACTTGCACATCTTATGCTCAAGGATCTACCTCTTAAGTTGCTTTTGAGGACGGAATTTGTCCATGGTGCAGACCGGCCCCAAACTTGCAGGGAACTCCAAGAGCCCGAGTGTTGGTACTTATTCAGGCTTCCACCCAAAGCCGGAACCCTAAACGATAATTCCCACACCCTCAACGAAAATTTCTCAACCTCCCAACTCCTTCCATGAGGCCCAAGTACCTAAATAGTAAGCAATGTGACCTTTTCTTGGACCCAGGTACTTGGAGCTCTGGGGCTCAACATGAGATGCAGCAATGTGGGGTTTCCCAAAATTAGGGGTACCCTTTTTGGGGGTCTAAATAATAAGGACTATAGTATTTTAGGGTCTATATTGGGGTCCCCCTATTTTGGGAAATTACCATGTAGTTTTGGATACCCTTGGCCAGCAACAGCGTATGTAGGAATCATACGCAGTAGTGGTTTCCAAATGGGATACTGGAGTCCCGATGGACAGTGAGATCATACCCTTCTGTCGGATGCAATTTTGTGGATGCGTGTGTGAGCCATAGTCAACCGCGCAGTGAACGAAGACTCGTCGGCTGCCTATTTCTGCCAAGACACCCTTAATTAGCAGGGAATAAGGGAGTATAATCCCTAATTATATCGTCTCTGTATAGTATATTCCATTATTCACTACCAAGAACCAGTAAGCAACTGGTTTGAAGTGAGTACCAAAGCATTCAGAATTTACACGGCTTAGGCAACTCTGGCTTAGGGCAGCTCTAGTGGGTACGAACCATTGTTCGAAGCTTGAGGCGGCCATGGCTGCGCGTAGCATTCATGCAAATTGCAGATGCTAACTGTCCGGCTGGTGTCGGGGGAATTGCTGGCAAAGATACCCACGCAGGAATTAAGCACAGTAAAGGCCTTGAAGCAACGTTTGCACGGCCTTTGCGATGCAGCACGCTTTCGCCAACGGCTGTTGCATGACGGCAGATTATTGGAAGATGATGAGAGGTTGGACGGCCCTCTCGAGCTGCAGTTGGTTTTGCTGAATTTCATCAGTCCTTCGCGCGAGCAAGTCACAGAGATCATGAGTGCATCCCGGCATGGTAACGTGTCTGAGCTTGAGGAGATACTCTGTCGACCACAGGATCCCAACCACTTCGTTCCTCCCGAACCTGAAAATGTTGCTGCAATACCTGATGACTTCCCGCTGTTTGCGCTTTCGCCTCTGTCGCCTCTTCAGATGGCAGCCATTTTTGGCGAGCTTGATGCTATGCATCTCCTCCTTGAGGCTCGTGCAGACATTGGGCCGGCCCACTGCAGCATCAAAAGTCTTACTCTTGTCAGTCAGCGTGGCAGTCTTGATGCCATGAAGTTGCTGCTCGAGGCCAGAGCGGATGCAGGAAACGCGCTGTCGACCGCGGCTGGGTTGGGCAAAGCGGGTGCAGTGCAGGTGTTGCTGAAGGCCGGAGCCCAGAAGGATTTAGAAGATAGCCGTGGTGTGACACGGCTTCTGGAAGCTTGCTGGTCTGGGCACGTGTACGTTGTACAGCTGCTGCTGGCTGCAGGTGCCAAACCAGCCGCATGCAGCAAGAAGGGGCTATCCTATCTTGCGGCAAGCCAAGGGCGTGGGCTTTTGCAGTCTGACACCCTTCAGCTGTGTACGTTTCCGCGGGAAAGACACCGAATCATAACGCGTTTGCTGATTCCGCGGCTACTTACGGTCTCCAGGTGGTCACGGGCCAAGCACCGAGTTACACACCAGCTTGTGAAGGCGCGGGCCAAGTAGCTGAAGTGCCATGGACGCTGCACCTGACATGGTTCGAGCCCTTGCAGTCATACAGTGCAGGATGTTGAGTGGTCAGGTCAGGGTTGCAAAGGTGCATCACTCAGGCGGCTTCCTTCACATTAGGACTTCCTTGTATGGGGTACCTTGAGTATTGGGGTCGTATGCTACTAGGGACCCTCAGCGCGACATTTATTTCTTGGGAAAAGCTGAGCCTCTGAGGTTTCTGAGAAATGGTATGGACGGACAGTCTTCCTTCAGAATTCCTGAGAAGACGATAGTAGGTGGTTTAGGCCTCTGAGTTATTTGCCCCTGTTTTGAAACACCCCTAACGGCCCTGCCCTCCTGTCTAAGTTCTCTCCATTATGTCATCATAATCTTGGGCAGTTTTGAGAAGCATGCGAGTATGCATGTTTTCTAGCAGATGCGCATGATGAAGGGTGGCGCGCATCATGGGGCACTAGGTGGGGAGAGCGGCGGAGTACGAGGGCTATTCTGCTCGGTGCATAAACTGGGAAGGCCTTTGGGTTCCTTAAATATTTTCCTTTATTGGCTTTATAAGGACCCATCTTTACTAATATTTCTCAAAGGTCTCTCAAGGCCAAACACGTAAAAGAGTACATGATATTTTCGGGGTGGGTTACAGGGAGAGGCTTCCTTTCTGGCCGATCTTGATCGAGTTCACAAAACATTTCTTAGCACAACACGCTGTGTTGTGTTGAGGGCTTGGATAAAGAACGCGAATTGCAGTGTCCCAAAATAAGGTGACCCCAACCTAGACCACTATATGTTATAATCTTTAGTCTGGAGAAAAATACTCCCCCACAATTCTAGGACCCCCTCCCAAATGACTCCCAAATGAATGCAATAAGTCTTTTGACCCATGGCTAGGATTTACAATGCAAAACCCCACCCACCCCAAAAAAAGAGAAAAAAAATACACCCAGGGTTTAAGGAGCTGATAAGGACTAGATGGAACATAATAAAGCCTAATAGGGTTCTAAACTGTGGAGGGGGTGGTATTGTTGTGGGGGTACATGTCTAACTCTCTCCTAACATTTGTGAGTGAGATTTGCCCCCTCTACAATGCGGTCATGGATGAGAATAGCCACCAGTGATCAAAACCCTTCCTCTTGCCCGCTGCTTGTGAAGCAGTTCCTACGTGCTGCCATGGCAGTCTTGCTCAACGGCTTCGATTTCCAGAATGGCAAAGGAACTACGGGTAAGGGCTCTGGCAAAGGCTACTTTCAAAGGCCCAGCTGTAACAAGGGCAAGGGCAAAGGAGCCGAAGGCAAGGGCACGGGCAAGCAAGCTGAAGGCAAAAGCTCTGGCAATTACTGCAATGGATGGCGATCCTGTGGTAAGGGCAAAGGCAAAGGAACTGAAGCCAAGGGCTCTGCCAAGGGCTACCCTGCATGGCCGAGCTATAGCAACTAGGTACGTACCCCAGTACCTTCTTCCCCTTTTTATTTGGGGGTCTCCTTATTTAAAGCTGCATAGTAGGAAAAGGGTACCCCTATTATGAGGGGTTACTTGGAGGGTCAAGGAGACTCAGTAAATAGGTTAATCGCGCCTATAACCTATATGGTAACCCCATTTATCCCCTTTATGAACCTACTTTCTAAGACCCCTGACCCTAAACCCTAAACCCCTAAACCCTAAACCCCTAAACCCTTAAACCCCTAAACCGTTGTTTGTTGGGGAACCTACGAACCCTTATTGTTAAGGGGTTCCTGGGGAACCGAGGCAAGGGCAAGGAAAAACTGGGTTGCTGTTAAGGAACTTAATTTAAGTTACTATATTGGGGAAACCCTATTATTCAATATATATATATATACCCATTATGGTAACCTAATTTAAGTCCCTTAAATCCCTATATTCCCCCAGTTTCCATTTCATTTTCCATGTTCTTTTCCATTTGATTCTCCATTATAGGCCATTATGGTAACCCTAAACCCTAAACCCTATACCCATTATGGTAACTCAATTTAAGTTCCTTTACAGCAACCCAGAAAAGGCCCCCCTGGGGCTTTGGCGGCCCACAGCTGCTCGTCCGAGTACTCCCGAAG